CTAGCTGGGTTCTTTCGTGATCCAGTAAGTCACACGTTCGCCATCTTAAGCATAGCTAGCTGGGTTCTTTCGTGATCCAGTTAGTCACACGTTTGACATCTTAAGCATAGCTAGCTGGGTTCTTTTGTGATCCAGTAAGTCACACGTTTGACATGTTAAGCATGGCTAGCTATGTTCTTTCGTGATCCAGTAAGTCACACGTTTGACATGTTAAGCATAGCTAGCTGGGTTCTTTCGTAATCCAGTAAGTCACACGTTTGACATCTTAAGCATAGCTAGCTGGGTTCTTTCGTGATCCAGTTAGTCACACGTTTGACATATTTAGTATAGCTAGCTGGGTTCTTTAGTGAGCTCCAATCAACAAATTTGTAGTAGTTTCTCTAGTTACAGAAGTAAACTTTTCTACATTTTTACGATCTACTGTTTACTTCAGTAAACCTATCTTTTTAGTTTTACTCTAACGGCTTTTTATATTCACTTTAAAATCTTGTACTTTAAAAAATATGACCAAGAAAACATTGGTCTTTATCTTTATCAGTAATTGTACTATTAGTATTACAGCTTTGGCTTAACTACTGTTCCAGTAAATATGGATGGCTCAGATATAGAGGATATTTAGATATGGTAACAGGAATACGTCAAGCATCATTCTTTCATAACTTCTGTAATCCAGTTATTTCATTACATACCTATATATGGAATTGTGAATTTATAATTCTAAAATAAATACCCATTCAAACAGTCATAGTATCGCTCCACTAGTTGCTTACCTCCCACACTCTGTATCCTGGCTGTTGATGCATGCTGGGATGGTGAAAGGTGAATTTCTGGAGAGAAAAAAATGTATTCCTGTTTTTTAAGATTTGAAAACAAAAAGAAATATCTTACTCGGTGTTGTAATTTAGATAGATTTCTGCTCAGAGATCATAACACAGATTGATTTCTGATTCTAACGTTTACAATCAACCAGATGAAATTAGTAAAGCATAGTTTTCCTTTTCTCACCCCATTATTTGATAAATTAATCATTATGTTCAATTTTTCCATTTTGTTTTGACAATATATACTTATATTGTTATGAATGGTTACTGTTAGTGATAAAGCTTTAACTTTAAATTACATAGGAGACTTTACTAAACCTAAATTTCACTAACATATTGTTTAAACTGTATGAAAACTGCCAAAACATTTTTCCCGACACAGTTTATATATATCAGAATCCACATTCATAATTTATAAAAGGCGTAATTTACTCAAGGTCTAATTTATGAAGTATTTATCAGAGTGGTAATTGGACTCAAGCGAGTCAGTAGTAGTTAGAATGTTATTAATTTTATTTAAAACAAAAATAAAAAAAAGCTTCAGTAGACCTGCACAAAATTTTAAACTATTCTAGATCGTTAGCAGAACTTTAAAATGAACACAAAATAACAATAGGGCCACTAATCGAATTTATAAAACCGTTTTGGAGTAGACGGTGAATTTTTACCCATGATTACATTCACAGCTAATTCGTAAAATACAAATTAGGCTAAAAACTTCACTGAACTACAGAATGGTTAGCAGTTTGAATGTGTTGAATTTCCAACAAAACTGAACGCTCGATAAGTTGCAGAGAAACAGATAACTAGAACGCTAGATATTAGATATAAATGGATTGCTAAGCCGGAAATTCCTGCCCTACTCACCAATTCAATACTGAATCGCCATGTTTTCATGATCTTGTGATCATGCGCATTGAACACATCTGTAAATTAACAAACATACTGCTGAATTATCTTTAAGCAAGGTATCCTACGACACCATAGTCACTTATTTAAAAACATTAAACTGTAGCAAGTATAGATTATCAGGTAAGACTTTTGTAAGAAATATATCTTATAAGTAATCAGGAAAATACAAAAGCAACTTTTACAATAGGCAAGTTCGGATTTTAATAATTACAACGTTTCGACCTATAGTATCTCTTATGTGATGATGACTCGATACAAGGGGTCAAAACGTTGAAATTATTAAAATAATAACTTGTCTATTGTAATAGTTGCTGTTATTGTATTTTTGAATTAATTATTCAGTAGGTTCCTCACTAAACATTAAATTTTATATTTTTTAAAATGAAATGTGGTACTGACTGTGCAGGGTGAACTAAAATGTTTGACAATGTGTAAATACATACTAAGTTTGTGAAGAAAAGAGGAGATTTCGCAATGTTTCCAGTTGGATTTACTATTGCTTTATTTTCCTGCTTTGCCAGAATCTAACGTGTTCCAACCATACACCTTGCTGAACAGCCGAAACTTAATATTGGTCCAAACTATATTCCTCAGCTGATAAGGTGTGGACTTTGTATCTGTTAAAATACAAGCTTAAGAACAAGTGGACACTAGAGCCAGCTGTGTCGTTTTATAGCCTTAATCCTTCTATTGGTTTCAGGGAGGCTTTAGAGCGACGTGTAAAAAAATCGATCTTCAGTATTTTAAAACAGGCAAGCTCTGAATAGCACACTTTAGAGAAACTGTAAGAATTGAGCATTGAATTTTTATTCGTTCTAAGTGCTTAGCAACTCTTATATAAACAGCATTCATGACATTTTATTACGAGTAAAATCGTTCATTTACCTAAAGTAAAATATGGCATTTACCCTGCAGTGTGGAGAAAAAGGGTCGCTTTAAGTGCAGATCTTTGACCCTAATAACTTTCAGTTTTTAACTTGGAAGCTATGTAAGGAACAAAATCACCATAACTTCAGGCTACCAGCTGGCTTTTCAATGCCTTTTTATTAAACGCTTTTTGGATTGAAGGCGTAGTTTGACACCCCTTTAGGCTTTCATTTCAACAGCAAAGAAAAATGAATTACGCTATAACCGAAAAGGTAATAAAAATCTAGAGAAAAACGTTCGATATATACAATGTTAAAGACTACGCTTAGTAGATGAAACTTCTGGACAGAAAATGCTCGCGAATCGTCATTAAATCAATATAATATACTGTATTTAACAGCTGAAAATTTAAAACTTGGAATCGAGATAACGATGAAATAAATACAGTACCATACAGCCGAATTAAACCTTCCGTTGAGCCCAGAGAGTTTTTGGCGAAACATCGGAAAGCTCCGAAGTCTTCCGATTCTACGGTGTTTATAATCAATATCATGTGGACTTTGTAGGTCTCTTCTTCCTTTTTGACAGTATACTTCTTACTGTCCACAATCATCTCACCCTCTTGTTTCGTCCAGTAATTGATAGAGGCTGGGAAGGCCTCGGTGTGGCAGTCCATCTTAACGCTGCCCCCTATTGGAGATCCAACTAACTGGTTGGGAATCGAGATCATTGGAGGAACTAAGTAGACACACAAATGTGAATACTAAATAAATTAATAGGAACAAAAATGTCACTAAATTAGTGGTAGTTTATTACTTACGAATTAGCCTCAGATACAAAAATACAGACATGAACAGTAAATATATAAAACAAAATATAATATAACCCCCGGCAACTCTTTGTTCTCTCTGTACGAGACTGAACTACCAGACAGGCTAGAGTCTTTACAATTCATATCTTACTGTTTACTCTGCTGGTTTTGAGAATTTACTCCACAAACTGAAAAAATAGTGAAGCATTTACGATTAAAAAGATTTAATGTTTTACCAAATATTATACCAAAAATTAGATACGAATACAGATTTTTTTCTATGACTGTTAGGCTATAATAAAGCTTCTTTCAGTCTTAAAGCTTAAATGTAAGTAAGGCCATCTACAGTATTGGAAATAATTATTTAAGTGGTGGAGGAAAAGGATAAAAACAAATATTATGAGAATGGCACCCTTTATCGTGTGAAAATGAACTACAGAAAAATACAGTCACGTGTTGATAGTTTACACTATGACTGGTTATAATCTAACCAATCAGAAAGCAACACATCTGTATTAAGCCTATAAAAGTACAAGCGGTCCACGCCCGGCGGCGGTGGTGGTGCTGGTAGTAGTAGTGGTGTTCTCGTTATGGTTCCAGGCAGTCTATGTCTACTACTAGTAGTAGTTTTTGTGTTATGGCTCTTAGTATTGAAATATCGCACGACTAGTATATACAAATCAAAGTTTTCGTTGATATATCGGAAATTTATGTAAAAATCTAAAGAGTGTAGTTGAAACAGGCACTGCTAATAACAAGGCCTGCGAATTTAAGCTTCATAAAAGTTGTTTTGGTATTAATAATGAATTTTCCATAATTCAGCTACGCATATTTAAAAAAGAATATTAATGTTTTCTATCGCGTAAGGATTGTTTACAAATTGGGAAGAAAAAAAACGAAATAATAATTTGATCTAAGTAAGAGTTTACTACAATGAACAAAAATATCAACAAACTGAAGAAAAGGGAAGAACACTGATGTCAAACGAATATGCATCCTCATTTATCCTGATTTTTGTGTGAAATTTACGTATTTTAGTTTCAAAACTACGTGTTGTGGTCTTTCTTTTATGTACTGCGTTATGACGCTTTGGGAAAAATCTGTACGTGATTGAAAAAAAAATTGATATCATTTTCGGATTCAGTGTACAGGAATTACTGTAGAACATTTAATAATTTCAAGACAATAAAACTATCGCAGGCCTGTGTAGTACAAGTGGTGGAGGTAGAAAACAAAAACTCTAAAAAATGATATTAAGTATCTTATGGGGTGTACTGTAGAAGATTGGTGTGGGTGTTACTTTGGGAACATTAAGTATCGTATGGGGTGTACTATAGAATATAGGTGGGCCTGTTATTTTGGGAACATTTAGGTACAAATTAGCACAAAGTAATGTCGATGAACATGTAGCTGCTATAAAACCATTGCTAAGAAAATGTAACGAAAAGGTTGAAATGGCCTACAAAATACAGAAGGAACAAAGTTGTAGACGTGAGCTCTTTGACAACTATCAACGACAGTTTGTTCTTAAATCATTTTATAGTCAATATATATCTATAGAGAAGCAGTGTGGGGGATCAGTACAAATTTGGAGCTGCATCTAAGCCAATGCCGTTTGTGATCTACACAAAATTGATCACACAGTGACTGCTGACAAGTACAGGCAAATTTTTATCCATCATGCTATTACTTCAGGACACGACTCTTTGGGTGGATATTAATGTTCCAGCATACCAATGAATCCAAGAATACAGTAAATGTGATGAAATGATACCTGATGGTTAAGAGGCCGTTGGAGCATTCACAACCACGGTCTGGCCTACACAAAGTCTCAGTATGAACATTTCTGAGGATGTTTGGACTTATGTTACAATCAAAAGGCGACCAAACAACTTGCCTAAATTGTGGGAAATAATATGGGACATTTGAAACATTTCCCAAATTGCACATCGATAAACTCTACGACAACATGAGAACAAATTGTAATGGTCTGAAAAAAAAAGATAGATTTTTGGATAAAATGTGTTTAAGTATAAATATAAGACAGTGTTAGCCAAGTTGACAATCGAGACATTGTACTGCAGCTCAGGGACAATTCTCTCTAGAGAATTGCAAAAACACACCGTTTGTGTGATGCACTGCAGTATACAGTCATTTTCTGGCAGGGGGGGATGATGGGTACCATTTTGACCTGCGACAAATAAATACTGCTACAGGACTACCAACCCCTAAGAAAGTCTCTGCCATGTACTTTTATGCATTCAGGTTGATGCTTTACCATTACAATTTTAGTGACGGGGTTCAAGAGGGCCGTGAAACCTTGTAAGTGTGATAAATGTTGGTATGATTTAAAGAAATTAATAAATAAGCCTAAAGTAAAGACGTAGTGTGAGATAACTTAGCCTAGAGGCAAGTGCATAAAATTTATCATGAATATAAGAATATCGATCCAATTTTCAACTTAAATCGTCTCTGAATTAACGTATTTTATGTTATATCACCAACGTTTTTAATATAAAAAAAACAAACCTCTTTGATCAACGGAAACTTGAAATTAAGAAATCAACAAATATTTTCCAGTTTTGTTGTTTATACATTTCATTTTATACTTTCAATACATAGACTAACAACAATATTAGGTTATACTTTTGTTGCTAAGCAACATGACATAAAAGCCATTGTTGGAAGGCATTGTTACCAAAACGCACTGGCTTTTCTATATATTAGAAGTTGTTAGTCTAACTGATATACTACAGGGTATATTTTGGGGCACGCTTACGCATTCGCATGTAGATAAGATAAGTAATAATACCCAGGTGCACACCCTCAGGATCCATTTAGTATGGGTGCAACATTTCAGGTTTCTAGGTTCTTTCCTCTTGGAGCTATGGCGGTCACACTCACACAGACACGCCCTTTTATCATTATGGATTTACTGTGATAATGACTTGTACTATTGATAAATTCACCATCTAGTTGCTGTTACTTGTTGTTTTTGACTTTTGTATAGGTGTCGCTTGGTTCAATAAGTGTTCCTATTAATATATATTTGTTAGAAAAATAACATGTTTTTATCTTAATGTTTCGGAAAAGCAGACACTTTTCTTACAGTGAACATGCAGAAGGATACGCTTGCTTATCGACGGTTGCACTCCGTTGGAAGCGACACACAAGTAGGCCCCCATGTGAAGTCGACTCACTTTGGTAATACTCAGATCCATCCCTTCATATGTCTTTTCTGAAAGAAACGTTAACAACAATGATAATTTTAAATGAAACACCCTGTTCGACAAATACACAGTGTTCTTTATTTTTAGTTTCTACAAGTTTATTGCTATTGCGAAAACCAAAATGTCGTTTTCTTACACAACAATGTGTCAGTAAGGTATGAACAATGTATGTTTCACCTAAAAATTAAATGAAAAACTCAACTTTCTCACTGTTATCGTGCATTTCTTCCTTGTAAGGTTCATATATTCATGAAGTAAGATGGGTAATTAACACACTGAAGAATGAACAAGAAATATAGGAATTATGAATGACAAATTACATTAAAAGACAGAGGAATTTAAAAAAATGTGGTGGAAAATTAAAGCAAAGAAAACCATCTATAAATGAAAATGACGAAAATGGTAGTAAGTTGTTCTGAGTAAAAAAGGTGACTACTAAGACATTCAACTCTAGATATTTATTATTAGTGTATTGTGTTTTTATTTGCATACTTTAATTCTTTCGTTTTTAAAATGCGTTTCACTAAGTTTATTCTCTCTCATTTTCCCAGTATTTAATTCAATAATAACTACACTTATAACACAGAGTTATTTTTCAATAACTTTTACACAGCATCCTTCCAAGAAAACATTCTTCATCAAGCTGTAAACTTATGTGATTGCATAGCTCTTATATACTTACAAAACTAAAAAGTCATTTGTGTTTTTGAGGTTGGAGTTGATAATTTTTGTAATGTTTAAATTACAAGTTCCACTCTTAAAACGTCTGGAGTAAAAGTCCTGAAGTAAGTATCAAATAAAAGAAAATAATAAACTAGATATATAGAATTGGTATCGTTAATCATATAGTTTGGTTAAAATGGAAATATTTTACAGTTAACATGTTAAATATTATCTTTAGATCACATGCTTCAATGTAATTATTCCCAAGTCAAATCGAAGGGCATTTTAACTCGATATTTTCAACTAGATAATAATTACTGCAGGTAATATTTTTTAACTTGGCACAATTATTATATAAGTATTTCTGCGTTTGATTAAGTATTACACGTAAGTTTTATTTTTTTTTAGTTTTTAATACAGGTGACATTTCAATTATCTCATAGTTATTATATTTAAACGGCTTTAACTACGTAAAATGACCATTAAATGCATCTTTCCGATTGGTTTCTTCATTATAATGCGTAAAACTGACTATATAATCACTAACTAGCGAATACACGATTAATACACACACCGTCTCCGCTCGAGCTTCCATCTTCCAGTCATCATATAACAACACAGCTTCCGCTTTCAATTCATCATCGTGAGCAGGCAATTCCACTTTAATCAGTGTAACATCAAAACCGTTATGAACTAATATTCGCTCAGTTAGTCGTCAGTATATCGAAACTCATGAACCACTGTTTAGTAGTTACTGTTACGTAATTTGAACGTATATGCATTGAATTAATAACATACGTAATTAATTATAAAAGCAAAAATATAATAAGTTGAAAGGTTACGTTTAAAAACAAAAAATTATTTCATATAATCTATCGTGATGTACAACATGAAAACAGTATTTTATAGATATATATAAACATTCAATAATGGCATATAGTGTTTACATTACATTTGCTAATCTTTACTGTGATGTGTACATATAATGCTGTTCTATTAGTAATACTGCAAAATTTGAAACAAATATATGTTCATTAGAAGCCCAAAAACTCCCTATTAAATGTATAGTATTCAATTATCCGTCGTATTAAATCATATCTGACACCTGATTTTTCGGTACTTTCATTTCATAGTTTTTATATTCTTTAGTATATGACAGCATTGTACAATATACAACGATATGGTATTGAATACACACACGTATAGTTATTTTTATTTGTTTTGTTGAGCTTTGTGATTTCACAAAGACCATAACAATTGACATAAAACAATCATTGAATATCCGTCGTGTTTAAAACATTTTATTTGTCTTATGAAATTAAAGATGACTAAAAACAGACGCTGAAATAGGTATCAGTTATCATACAAGTGTTTAATTTTGAAATATTCTTGAAATAATGGTAACAAATTGTTATTATGTCAAAATCGGTGAAGATTTTTCACTCTTGGAATTTACTAGAAACTTCTAAAGAAATACTAACTATTAAGTTGGACAATCGCGTGAGGAAATGTGCTCATGTTTTACAAGATACAGTTTTACTTTCAAAACTCGGTGCAAGTGGTATAGTTTCGCTAGATGCTGTTTATCATTCTGATTATCTTATATGACTTTACAAATTGGGAACCACTCAAATCTATCAGAAATTCTGGTTGATGAACACACAAAAAAGCTTCATGTTTTAGCTTTGGTTGAGTTGATATCTTACATTAAGGTGATCTAGGCGGATCTGATACATGCTGTTCAAATTATTAGATCTAGCAAAGACATACTGATGCTTTTACTGGGTGTGACCAAAAGGGAATGAGGTCAATTGACCGTTCTCTCCGTGCGAAAAGGTATTTCTGGGCCTGGTCAGTTGTCGCATAGACACTAGTTCTGATACAAATTAAAATGACAAAGCTTTAAAAGTCAGGCATTATGGTAGAAATATTGTTATCTATTGTTAAAGATATTGTTAAATATTGTTGAAGAATTGTTTAACAATATTTAACAATATTGTTAAAGAATTTAAAAGTTGAAGTGATTCTTTTATGAGCAGACCAAGTATCCCAGACAGTTTTCTTTCCTCTGCCTTTGAAACAAGAAATCTAAAAATAGTCAAGATGGCCGCCGCGAGATCTTAGATATGCAATCAAGTATGTGCACTTTGAATAAAAGTTTGAACCTATTCGTAAATATGAAATACTACAAATAAACCTTTTCATGTATGGAACCACTTTAAATCTATACAAAATGGCTTCACATGGCCAATAAAGTTTCTAAAACGTAGTCAAACATGTTGATAACAATTTGTATTTGGGTAAAGATATAACTATGTATGATGACATGGATTCTAATACTCCTCGTTTTCAATTTACAAAATCACCTGAATTCAATTCGAAAATAATCGCCAGTATTTAATGACATCACAGACCTTTTACAATTTAAAATCATATCGGAGAATGTTATTTTTATAGTAAATCTTTCAGTCACAATCTCCACTACATTTTAGCATTAACACATTTACAGCTATTTTCTATATCTATTTTCTACTTTGCATCCACACCTCAGGATCTCGAGACAAAACTTGGCTTTTGGGATGAATGTCCAAAATGGTTCCCAGATCTGTTTATCTCTCCTTTTCTAGCCTCAACTGCGCGGAGACAGCATTTTATAAAGGACAGGCCACAATGATATCCAGCTTGAAACGCTATTCCTGTATTGGTAGTCGAAAATGAATTTAACGTTTTAATTTTCAATCGTTTAGTAAACTTAAGTTTATATAAAGTTGGAAGTTCTTGTTACCTTTTATCTGGAGATAAGGTAATACATTTAAAATCAAAGAAACTTTGGTCATTTCAAAAACCAGCAGTTAGCAGTTAGACTAGCAGTATAGTGAAGGTAGTTGTGCACAATGAGTAAAAAGCATGAAACTTGTCATGATGGTAGGTATGATAGAACTGATTAATTTAAGATATAAACAGCCCCCAAATTATAGATGACCTACCTAAAAGTATACAAAATTTTGGTTTAAAAGCATGGAGGATGGGGAAGCTGTGATAGTTGGTAAGTTAGAACCAGACAGTTTCTGATATGTTGTTAATTGAAATTTGTTTAAAAACTTGGCATACAAACTAGCCAATTGTGTAGTTTTGTGCTTAACAACAACCAAGCAGACATTTTTACGACTAAAACAAAACAAATCAACAGGCTGTATTATCATGAGCAAAAATTATAAAGAGGTTAGATAAATGGTTTAATGTATTTATAGTATGTATCAATCTACCATTAAACAGTTTTAATAAATCTAGAGAACATCACATCTGATCTAATATAAATAATTATCGTAATTAGTATACCACATTTACGAAACATCATACTACCAGTAAAATTCGAAATTTGGACTTCAATGTTTGTATTTTTACCGGTTTCATCACATCCCTGGTTACAACGAATTAATGAACAAAACTAAAAGTGTATTTAATATTATATTTATCTAAAGGCTAAAAAAACAAATAAAAAATCTATATAAAATACACATTAAGATATATAAATAGTTAAAACTGCACATACAATGTACACATGTTGAACAAAAATATTTATTCGGGTGAAGTTTAGTCCTACTAGAACTAGCGCTTTTAAAGATCTAAATATTTATAAATCAAACTTCTAATTAAGTGTTTGTTGGTTTGAAGTTAATCACAACGCTACGCAATGGGTTATCTGTGCTCTGCCCACCACGGGTATCGAAACCCGGTTTCTAGCTTTGTAAGTCCGCAGGCAGACATTCCGCTGTGCCACAGGGGGGGGGGGCACTTTAATTAAGTGCTTAAACACATGTAGAGAATGTCACGCTACCAGTAGAATATGTTATTATAAATATGTAAATCTCTCTTATATTTCAAAACATCTAGAGGATATCAACGTGACAATAACGTGTATTATTACATTTATAACAAATCATTTTGCTTCGAAAGTACTTAAACACATCTGGAAAAATATTAGCCAGCGAAATGGTTTAATTCACAGACAATATACGAACCTGCCAGTAACACGATCTCATGGATAGGAAGGTTTCAGTGCCAGTAGAAAAACTGTTGTTTTGATTTATAATGGCAGATTTTTTTGTAGATTTTAAACAGCTATGCTTAGTTTAGTAGCGTAAAGAGATTCATTTCAGACAGCATTTCTGTAATAATAACTAACTGATCTCTCGCAGATAGAAAGCGAAAAACTACGAGCTGTCTTTCATAATTTTATTCCTAAAAGAACACAAAACGACCACTTATCTTTTCTGAAACACCATAAAAAAACACTTAATTTAACTAATCAGAAAAGGCCATAACATAAGAGATATCTGCTTTT